TCTACTCTTTCACAGGCTCCTTATTGGAAAAAGTAATAGCCTAAAACTACAACATGATCTACACTGTGAAACCACACTGGCTGCCAACAACTACGTGAATCAATATGATGCTTACTTAACACTGGGTAACAGAACACCATCCCAGGTACAGTCACCAAGAATTTTCCATCTCTTCTTCATAAATATTTTGGGGTCAGAATTAAAATCTTTTAGGGCATAAAATGCAGGACAAATAAAAGACTATTTTTCTAATTGCAATATTTCCAGGAGACTAGTGCTACAGCAGCACTCAGATACAGAAACCTGGCAAAGCAAATATACTTCAAAGGGTATTTGCACTTGGGTGAACAAGAAAATAAAATGAGCTCTAGTTCTATAGCCCCATGCCTGGAGGAAGGCAATTAATGTGATGATTTGGGAGTGCATCTCTTGAAAGTGCTTGTCCTAGACTTTCAGGAGATCTACAGAGATTCAGGGCTGGGGATTTTTATTCACTTCCCATATGCCAAATGCACTCGCATTCTGTGAGTCAGATCTGGAGAAGACTTTACCATCTGCAACTGCATTTCCCTTTTCTGCTGAGTCACTCTGCACACAGACAAGCTGTTTTCAGCAAACCCCAAATTTTCCATACCCTTGCCAGGACCAAGGTAAGTCACTGCCCACATTCCCATGCTGCTGGCAATATGCAGGCTAGCCCAGAGCATGGCTTGTTCCTCTGAAAATGTCCTGAGCTGCATCAGTGGCCCTTGTCATCCGTTTCATGGATACAATGGAACCTTGCCCAGCCATGAACAGCAATCTCTCTCTGTAAATCTCTGAGGGAAGAAAAAGAGAGACAGAGCCAGTGGATAAGGTTTGACCCTTTCCATAATGAGGAACTTGACCCAAGGGCCTCTTTTGAGGTGCTTATGGTTTTGAAGCTCCAGTCTTGGCAGATTCTATGAACTGCATCTAATGACTGCACCACATCCAAAGCACAGGGAGGACCAAGTGTTCACAACACCAAGGCACACAGGACCAAGTACATGCTCTAGAGCAGGTGGGATGCTGCAGGTTTAAACTAGCTAAAACTGCTGGAAAGTCAGCCACTGAAGTGTAGACAGCACAAATGTGCATTTTCTCATGTTGTTTCCTGGGGCTTTGCTAACATTTGAAAACAGCTTATGGAATTAGTGGTCTCAGAACACCAGAGCACTGAACCTTTAACTGCTTTCAGTCTGTCCTGTGCCAGGAAGCAAGTAGAAGTTAACATCAACTGATAGTGATGAATGGCCATTGTGAAGTAGGGAGTTCTCTGCCCGTTTTAATTTCCGCTCATCTCACAAACTCTGCAACAGGCTCAGGACATATAAGATCAAATTGCATCAGTTAATTCAACACGGCCCTATGGCGGAAGGGGTGGGATGGTAAAGCATGAAACTGGCTAGAAATCAATGTGAGAAAAGGGTGTGGGACATAGCACACACAGCTGCCTGAAGCAGGCTCCCAGCTGCAGCAGAGTGAGTGACTTTGTGTAGATACCACTCAAAGTCTGATGCAAGCAAGTAAACTAGTAACCAGGAAGTCTCTTTCATTCTGCTGCAGAGCCGTTATCCCTCCTTCTCCTCCCCTGCTCCTGATGAGAGGACAGGACTAGCCTCAAAGTACTTGGCAGAGATAAGGAGTAGCCACAAAACACCTTCTTTTAGAAACCCAGCTTGGAAACCAAGTTCATATGAAGTTCCAATTTCCACACCAAGAAGTGTGATGACCACAGATTTATTATTACATAGAGCATCAGAAATAGTGTGGTCCTTAGTCCACTGTGAGACAATTTGGGCTATTTTAAACACTTTTTTTTTTTTTTTTTTTTTTTTAAGTGAAGGAAGAAAACATTTTGGAACCCACTTGATCGCTTAGCTAGTGGACTGACTTCCTGGCTTGACCTCCCACCTGCTTTGTCACCGTGGACTTATGTCACTATTCCCTCGTTGTAAATGCTGACAAAGTCTGCTTTCATGGTACATGAAAGGCTCTTCAGCCTTTAGCCAATTTTATCAGAGGAACTCAGGCTTCAGAGAACATCTTGCCTAATGGTCCAGTGATTGAGGAGCTTGAAGGTTCTGTGGTGGGTGAGTGCACTGGTATAATATATCACACTTTCTGGTGCAGTCTTTTTCCTAGCCTTCTGTCAAAACTCATCCTCTCCCCTTTCTCAGATAGAACCACCATGCCTTCCTGTCAGGGCACAAATCAAGATGTCCTGAGAGCAGGCCAGACCCCAGCTTAACTGATCACATATACTCAAATATCTTCAGATAGCCACACTTATGAAGCTTGGAGGGATAAAGAATTGGGCCTCTCAATCCAAGAACAGACACGCTAGTTTTGACCACTACATTGAGCTGACAGTGAAAATAGGCAGCACAACCACTTCTCACTACTGGAGTTGAATTAATACGATATTTTTATGCTCATGAGTGCTGTGGCTCAGATATGTATCCAGTTGGGACTAGAGGAATGCAATAGGTGGTGGTAAACTTTGAAAGCAGTACGTTTTACTAAATAGCCATAGTAGGAATTTGCTTTCTGCCTGCATTTAGGTGATCTGGCCAACTTTGTAGCAGTGAGCTGGGTGTATGACAGGACTGTCTGTTTTGGAAATAGCTCCATCTCAGAGAAACTGCCCTTTGCTTTAAAGCTTATATGAAACACATCTCAAGGAGGAGGGAAATTATAAGCACTTTAGAGTCTCTTGAAGTATTGTGAAATGCTGTGATCTCCGTCCTTTCATTTCAATACAGTGGCAGTCTCATAACAAACAACAGCTATAACTTAAAGGGCTTTTTAAAAAAATACCAATCTTAGTTTTAGTCACAAAGGTCTGTTCCCCCAGCCTCCAAATCCCAATCTGTGAAGCAGAGGTAATTTTATAATGTCTGTATTATTAATATACAGAAAGATTTTTTCCCCAGAGTATCTTCTGGTGATGGGACAAACTTCAAGGGAGACAACTGTACCTCCAATATGCAATTTAGGAAATGATTTTTGTCCTTAGAAGTTTGTAAGTCAGATGGGTGCATTACATCACAGTCATTACTGTGATCCATGTGACAGGGACTGCACTTTTTTAAGCATGCTTTCCTTATATACAGGCAGTTACTGTGAGGAAATGAGACTCTTTTCCCCAAGGATATCATAATAGCTGCATGACGAAGATCACTAGCAAGCACTGAAATCTGACTAATGCTTGACTGGTCCTAATAGGCAATGATTTTCCATACACTGCTCTTTAACTGAACAAAAATTATTGATCTAACCAATTGTTTGCTAGCATCATTTTTTTGGATGTTTGTTTTCTGAACTGGTTTTAGAGTACGTGCTCCTCCTCTCCTAACTCTAGAGCCCAGTTCTTGGCTGGACTAGATCCTTTGATCCAGCACAGCTACAATGACGTCTATGAAGTCTCTTACATCAGAACTGGCCTAACGATCCTGCTATGTGCTGCTGACACTGCGGCAAATGGGAGCAGATACTGAATGATGCGAGAGAAAAGCGCGTTTGGGCCTAGCCGGAGCAGCCAGGGCAGAGCCCATCCCGACGCTCAACCGCCCCCGCGCTGAACGCGCCCGGCGGGCGCGGCGAGAGCGCCCCCTGCTGGCGGCAGCCTGCGCAGCAGCCTGGGGAGCTCCGCGCCCCGGGGCGCGAGCGCGGCCGCGGCCGGGCTCCACACGGCGCTGCCTGGGTCCCTCGGCGGCGCTGCGGGCACCTACCCGCTTCGGACGGTACAATGCGATTGTCTCAGCAGATCTGAGCTGCGTTCATAACGTGAGAGTCAGGGTCTGTGGTTATTTTACAGATTATCATACAGATTATTATACAGATTACATTGGCCAAGAAGGCCAATGGCATCCTGGCCTGCATCAGGAGGAGTGTTGCCAGCAGGTCAAGGGAGGTGATTCTGCCCCTCTACTCAGCTCTGGTGAGGCCGCACCTGGAGTACTGTGTTCAGTTCTGGGCACCCCAGTATAGGAGGGACGTGGAGCTTCTGGAGAGGGTCCAGAGAAGGGCAACCAGGATGATTAAGGGAATGGAACATCTCTCGTATGAAGAGAGGCTGAGCGAGCTGGGCCTGTTTTCTCTGGAGAAGAGACGGCTCAGAGGGGATCTGATTAATATGTATAAGTTCAGGAAGGGAGAATGCAGGGAGGAAGGGGACAGGCTGTTCTCACTGGTGGCCAGCGATAGGACGAGGGGTAATGGCCACAAACTGAAGCATAAGAAGTTCCGTCTCCAGGTGAGGAGCAACTTCTTTACTGTTAGGGTAACAGAGCAGTGGAACAGGCTGCCCAGGGAGGTTGTGGAGTCTCCTACTCTGGAGGTCTTCAAAACCCGCCTGGATGCCACCCTGTGCCACATGCTCTAGGTGTGCCTGCTTGAGCAGGAAGGTTGGACTAGATGATCTGTAGAGGTCCCTTCCAACCTTAAATATTCTGAAATATTCTGAAATTATATCTGTGATGGTGTCACAGATCCTTTCTTCGACTGGGGGAAAGCCAGATAACAGGCATGACAAACTTCTGCTAACTGCTGCAATATACATGAACTTCCAAGGCTGTACGTCTGCAGCTAACTGTCAGTACAGTCTGTAGGTAACGTCTGTATAGCTTCCCAAGGCTATACATCTGATTAGCTAAAATTCCTATGCGTCAGCATGACTTTGCCCTGCTGGTCCTCTCTGTGCTGGCCACAGCAAAACTGAGAGCAGGACAACTTCCTTCATTGCTTCATGCCTGAAATGTTTTATAGCATTTTTCTTTTTGTCCTCAAAAGTAAACTACTATTTGAAATTAGTTATTGCAATTGCATTGGAACCTGGGGATTGTACTTCAGCAATGGAGTTTTAAAATGCTAACTGAATTTAAAAAAAAAAAGAGACAAAAATATTGCAATTAATACACTTTAAATGGAATTTAAATAAATATGCGTTATTGTACACAATCATTTTAATTACTAGACAAAATCTTAGCTCATCACCCCTGCCATATTAATAACGGGATGTAATTATTTTTTATCTCAACAATTCCAAAGTGAGACATATGTAACAGGGCTATCCAGTTAAAAGTTAAGTATTTCTACTTTATAGCTACGTCTTAAGGAAATAAATGCATGAAAATTATGCTAAGTACTTCAGGTCATGTTCTTCCTTTTAGAAGAATGGAAAAACTACAGATATTTCGACAGAAACACAGACATTGACTTAAGCAGTCCAAAACGATCTGGGGTTGGAGGGCTCCCTTGTTGCTACTTGAACGGCACAGCTCTAGGGAGCCTGCAGAGCAGGCTACCAAACAGCACTGGCTCTCGGGACCACAGATTTCCAGTTAAGCCTGCTCCCTTCTTTACAGTTTTAGGCAAGCACAGGCAAATTAGATGCACTGGCTTCATTAATAAAATGTAAAATGAGAAAACAGAACATTGTTTAAAATTTCCTGATTTCTCCTCAGTATCAATTTAGGACCCTACACAAACTTTTGTTTTTCTTAGCATTATCTCATGTGAAGTGAGATAATGGCCAGTAAAGTGACAAAGAACAGAGCAGGCAACAGGGGGTTGTGCACCAGCAGAGGGACCCACTCCAACCCCGGAGCATGATACCGTCCTACATGGCACTTGTTCAGGCCTTAATGCAGCATAACACACCCTCTCTGTGAAAAAAAGGTGGGGGTGGTGGGGGTAAAAGAGAGAGACACCGTAGCAAATGAGAGTGCATGGGATGACATATTGTATGGGGAAGACACACGGAATTCAACAGGCCTTATCAGCGGTCAACAAGTAAATGCATCACAGACTACAAGTTTTCTCTTATCACCAAGGAGAATAAACCATTCTGAAGGTTTATGTCTCAAGGTCAAAGGGGAACAGAAGTTCTAAAATCAGTGGAGTTAGTAGAACAGAAGCTCTAAAATCAGTGGAGTTGGTAGTTCTTTCAACTTTTCAGCTTCTGTTTGAAGACAGCAACAGCATAGTAGCTTTTAAATTTCACCAGGAATATGGGGATTGGTATGATAATAGTTAGCATGCCAAATACTGCAGCTAAGGCTGCTGTCACTTGGCCAACAGTGGTAAGAGGAATGATGTCTCCATAGCCCACTGTGGTGAGTGTGATCAGAGCCCACCAGAAGCAGACAAAAATGTCAGTGATATGCAGCTCCCCTGTGTAGGAAGGATTGCTACAAAGCAACTCCCCATAGAAAAATAGCGCACCAAAGAAAAGGGTTTCAAAGGCTAAAATCATCAACAGGATGCAGATCTCACGGAGGATAGACTTGAGGGTGTAGAACAGAACTCTGAGAGTAAGTGGGGTTTCTATCAGCTTGGATAACTTCAAGAGCTTGAGGAGATAGACAACACGAATAAAGCCAAGCCAAAGCCCTACACTGGGCATTTTTTGAATATGCCCATCCACAAAGAGTTCAATATAAACTGGGAAGAGTGAGAGAAAGTCTACCACGTTCAAGGGATTCTGGAAGAATTTCTTTTTGTCTGGGCAGACACAAAGCCGCACAGAAAACTCAAAAGAAAACCAAAGGACACAGAAAAGCTCCAGATGAAGCAAGGAGGCAGGCTGGTGGTAATGGGGTTCATGGTAGTTGCGAGCAACTTCAGAATGGCCATTAAAGGTGAAGTTAGCAGTGAAGAACTCAAATTGTGCCTTGGTCTCCTCACAGAATATGATGACAATTCCAATGATGAACAACAGAGAAACAATAGCCAGGCACTGCAGAGGGAATAAAGAGTATAGACAGTATTAGTCCAACAAATAAGTATCACATTACCTTATTGCTCTACCTCAAACCCAGACACACACACAGGATGATCTCAAACCAACATTTTTCAAATGCCCTGTTAAGGGTTGCTTTGCACAGATGTATATTTTTCTCCTTCCAAGCTTGAAAAAAACATATAGAAGATTAAGCTCAAGAGAAAAACAACAACAACAACAAAAACCCAACAGCAAAACAAGCAAACAAACCACCAAACTCCTGTAACTCAGCTTGTAGGGAACATGTCTGACAGGTGGGGTAACATGGACAGACTCACACTGAGAGCCTTTCCAGCACTAAGTGCTGGCTTCAAAAATGCTGGAATGGCAGAAAATATCCTCTCAACCTCTAATTTGCATTTGTTGTTTTGCATGCCTGACCTTTCAAAAAGGAGACAGACATGCATTTTATGTAGTGACAAGGGGATAAAATGTGTCTGTTAGTGAGAAGACAGATTCTGAAATCTAAATGCAATATGCACACAACCTCCAGGTTTTTCTTAAAGACATTAATTTTGGTTATTCATGTTGGGAAGATATGGAGGGAAATGTCAGATTATCCCCGTGGTCTAGCAAACGGTCCATGAATCAAACAGATGTCCCTTATTGGCTGTTTGTGGGAAGAAGGGGGGGACAGTTGTCCTGTGAAAAGAGCTGGGACTTACCAACTAACCTCACCTGCTACTGTGACAAGGAAGAAGAGGGGCAGATGAACATAAACCCCCTCATATTTTCATGTATATATGTAGCCCACAGTGCATTTACGAGGGAGATCAGAGCAAAATAACATCTGCATCTAAATCTCATGATGAGTTCATCTTTAAAACCTAGAAGGCACTTTGAGGAATAAGTAATTAATTTCTACTGTCAAACCATCAGTGAAAGAGAGCAGGGGTTCTGAGATACTTATTTTTTCAATCTAGATTCCAAAAAGGCACAAAGCTATAAACTCATTAGTATCTTTCATGGACACATTCCAGTAATCCCAAAGGACACAGACTGCGTCCATCTCCAGGGATATTACCTTAGCAGTGAAAGAGGAAAAGGGTTTTTCAAAGACAGACCAAATCTTTGGCTGCCACCTGGTTCTCCAGCTGAAATTCATTCTTTCTGTTTGGACTATGAGGCACCGGTCATCGGCCTGATCATTTTCATCCCAAATGTGTAATTCCTCTGGCTGCACCTTCCTGTTATTCAGCTTTAGCCAGCAGCAGAATGCTAGGTGTGTCACATTTATTTCCCAGAATGCCAGCTCTTCTTCTAAAACTGACCTACAGATATCAATGGGGCAGTGGAGATGCTTGGTCCTATAGTAATTCAACACATAGCTGAAGATCTCACCACTCCTATCAAAAAAGAATTCTTTGGTGGTGGGATTATAGTCATAGATGCTTGGGGCATGGGGCTCCGTGAGGCTGCACAGCTTGGTCCCTGGGAAGGCACGGAGAGTGTTGCTGTATGTTTCGTATCTGACTCCCCCAACATTCAGGACGATTTTTTCCTTGAAGTCTTCCATCTGTGAGCAGGGAGGCACAATTCCTCATAGGCTTTTGTTTATCTTCAGTGAAAAAGAGAAAAACACAGATTAAAAGAAGGAAAACAAGTTCTGGAGCAGGAAGGTTTTCAAAGGTATCTCATTTCATCACCTTTAAAGCACACTGCATACCTGAAGCTACAATCTCCTGTTAGGAGGAATATCCCTTTGCCCTTCCCCATGATGTTCAGTGTCTGTTCTTCTTAATCTGTGCTCCTGGCCATATTGTCCGAGCAGGACATTATCTTTTCAGGAGTTACACCAAACAAAATGACAAATATTCGGTGTGCTTTGCATTCTCTCAATCTATGCCCATGGGGACAGAACACGGGGTCCAGTTTGTTTCATTAGGTTTGTTCATATATTGTAAACAGACATTGCAATAACCTCACTTAAGGCAAAAGAAAGGTGCTGGTTTTCATTCACAGGATATTCACTCCACTATTTCCACCCTTCTGTAAATGCCCTTCAATTTCTCTTTCCACCGGCAGTTTCTTGGAGAGAACTTCATGCATCAAGAGAATAAGAGCCATCAGCAGTTTATTCTCCAAACAGCTTTTTAGACATTATCTCCTGTACTGAGCCTGGCATAACAGTGGTCTCAAGAAATCCTGCTGTCTGGTGGTAGGACATCTGGATTATCCATGGGTCTTTTTTTTTCCCCCCCTGCCATGAGTAAAGAGGACTTTCCTGTACAGAGTCCTATTGAGCTTCAGAGTCCCATGTGCAGGAAGCTGCTTCTTACCTGGAGTCTATCTACAAAATTCCCAGACTACAGGAAAACAGAATGACATATGCCTCCTCCTTCAGGGCAGGCAGACACCTCAGAATAGTATCAAAACCTGCTGCCAAAGTCCCAGGCACTGAAAAACATGTTGAGCTGCTTTTATTTCTGTAATATGCCACTTGATTAGCTCTCCAAAATCCAACACGCCTAGAAGAAACATGCCATGCTGTATAATTGTTTTTTTCCAGGAAGGGGATGAGACCAAGTATCTCTGTAGCCCCAGGAACATGGAGAACAGTTGCAGAATATGGCAAGAAATGGTTGGGAAAGGTATTGCCACTCTCTCACCTACACATATCCATTTCTGAGCATTTATATACTTCCAGTCTCCTTCCTTCCTACATGTTACTATCCAATCCTCTCTTAGCCCCTGCATTTCCAGTGCTGACTTTTCTTATTGCAGAGCTTTTTGCAAACGTCTTTCCTTCCTGCTTGGAAGCCCTTACCCTCTGCTAAGCATGCTGAGACAATGTATACAGAATCTCCAATTTTCACTCTTTACTCCTGTGCAGCACAGGAGTCACAGGTCACTTTTGTGACACAATACTTTCCATCCAAAATCTGCAAGGAAACAGATCTTGCCCCAGAGGAGATGCTCAGAAGCAAAGAACTGCATACAGTACCTCATTCAGCTTCATCAGAAAAGTTTAGAAACTGCAGCTTAGTCATGCACAAGAGAATTACTGCCAATCTGTTCTCCTGACTATTCCAATACATGTGATGCCTCATCTCTCTTTCCCTGAAGTCAGGGAAAGTCAGCTAATATTCCACTAACTTCAGTGAGAGCAGGATTTGGATTAAAGACAAGGATGTAGGTAATGCTTAGCACCTGCTGCACAGGACTACAAACAGATGAATTCTAAGCAGGTTAAATTAATTCAGTACTCAGCAAACCTACAGATACATTATTGGCCTCTGTTTCCTAGCTGTTAAAAAGCTTTTTTGAGATTCCCGGATAAACTTGCTTTCATTTGTTAGCATGCCAGATGCTTGTCTTATATGTACAATTTCTCATATGAAAAATGATTCAAAAAGTGGTATTTCATATTCTTACCTTGATGTAATCACAGCAACTCTGCAACCAGAAGAAAGAAGGAGAAACTGGGAAGAACAGAGACAAATTCAGCAAAAACAGGATGTTCAGTGGCTGGTTGCCAAATCTTAAGTCTTTTAGATGCCAGAAAACAAAAACAGCCAATCATGCACAAAAATGCAGAGGCCCCTTTCCCCTTCTTGGTTTTCTCCAATCAGCAGCCACTCTCCCAGCTCCAGGGAACAACACTCCAACAAGGCAAATGCCAGGCCAGATGTGTTCCTGACTGCCCTGCCACCTGCTGCTCTTCTAACAACCTCAATAGGCCATAGTGCTTGGGAAACTGGCGGAGCTGCAACGTCCTGGGATAATTAAACTTTTAAGCCAGGGAAAAGCAGGAAGAGTACGGTTCTTTCTTGGCTCTGCTTTATTCACGTTTAAGTAAAAAAAAATAATGTACCAAAAAACACCCCAAACCCCTAGGATAATAAAGAAAAAAATACCAAACTGACCTCCCACCTTCTTGTTACTCTCTCCTTTCTATTGCTTTAAAGGACTTTCTCTTCATTTCAGGAGGCCTCACGGCTAATCTTTTGCACTCACAGACAAGCGTGATTTTTCTCAGTGATTTTTCCAGGAAGGATGGCATATACTTTGTTATCCAAGCAAGAAATGTTATCACAATTAACTTTGTATGATATTTCTTTTGAAATTGACTTTCCAAGGCTGTTTATAGGTATATTCCCTATCCTATTTGAATTCTCTCCCTCAAAAGAAAAAAAAAATACTTAAAAAAAAAAAGAAACAAAAATTCATATCTACAAACAGAACAAGAATATTCAGGAAACCTGTGGGGTTTCCTTTTCAGTTTTACAGCTGCAAAGCAGGCTCACATCTCTTTACAGGGAGCATTATGAGAAATCCAACTGGCTGGATTATTCATTTCAATCCACTACCTGTATCAGTTTTGATACATTAAAATCTCTTCTTCTGGAAAAGACATTTTCCAACTGCACCTTTTTTAGCTAGATAGTCTGCTTCTTAACTCTCCACTGGCATTTCACCTGCAGCTACAGGCAATCTCACCTACAGGAAGCATGCACATTCCCAGTGTAGTACAGGGACATCACAGACAGTCTTGTTCTCTTCTCTCAGTCAACACTACTGCAAGGTTGCAGAAACAGGTATGGTAAATTTTGCCAATTGTCTCCGAGACTTTCAGCTGTCTTTGGCCACCCACCTGCAACTTGTTATAAAGCATATCTTAGTCCAGCATCACAAGAAGAGCAAACAACACAAGCAAAATTTCCCTTTGATTCAGACTGTGAAAGCATGTAAAATCTATGCTGTTATAGTCCTTGCTTTCTTTCATTTCTTTTTATAACAGATATCAAACTCTTCATATCTTTCTCCAAAAAAAATGGGATATTTCTCTTTTAACTTAATTTCTGCTGCATCTCTAAAGATCTGGAACATGGATTTCGTTGAGTTTGATAGACATCATTTGTTCCATGGCATTCCAGTATGTGCATTTTATAAGCTTTGTGTTGCTCTTGATTTCTGAAACCCAGAAAGAATCTGGAAAGCAAAACAACTCGTGGTGTTACTCTGCTCTGAATAAGACCCTTTGATTCCAGTAAACAGCTTCTGCTTTCAGATAATTTTTAAGCAAATGAAAAGTGCAAATCTGTTTCCAGAGAACAGTGCTCTATTCTAATTTTTATCCTTGACTGGTATCTTCTGAGAACTTACTTGCACTGCATGAGACACTGCAGGAGCTTAACACTAATAAATCTGTCCCTTCATCCTTGTACCTCTTGAATAATGAAACTCTCCTTTTTTCAGTCTGACCTACATTTATTAAGACCAAGGAACAAGGGTCATAGAATCATTACAGTTGGAAAAGATCTTTGAGACGATCAAGTCCAACGAAAAGTCATAAAGTACAGTCCAATTGTACACTCATAGCTGTAATGAACTTGGTGGCACATTTCAAATATGATATTTTAGCAGAACTCATTCATCTTTTATGAAGACACTGAACATTTTCAGCTGTAGATGACTAAATCCATAAATCTGAGAAAACTTATGTTCCATTCCCACAATTTTCATAGCATTTTGTTCCCATCTTTGGATTTTAATAAAATAAATATTTTGTACAAAGCAGAAGTTCTAGATTTTTCTCCCACACACTGATTAGTCAAACGCACATGGTCTGAACTATGCATTCAGACATACTGGGGTTAGTTTAAATTTGAGGAGGCTTCATTAAGTGTATTTATGCTAGAATAAAAGAGGAAAACTAACTTTCCACTAAAAAAAATACAAGAATATTCACAATAATCTGTTGAGGTTAATTAACAGTTTAGCAAATGAAATCTTGCCTTTGGATTTTCAGGGAAAAAAAAAAGAGCTTAGTTTTCTAGAGGTTAGTCTTAGAGAAGGACAAAAACAGTTTACTGGAGGGTCTGCAGTTGCTCATAACAAACCTCAACATTGGAGACAATGGGGGTCTGAAAGATACCACTTTCTGGTAGAGAGTTCATAAAACTACTCGTATTAGCCCTTCATATGTATCTCATGAAACTATCCCAGTTAGGCTGCACTTCCCTGCAGAAGTTGGGAAAAAAAATGCGAAGATTAAAAATTATTTTGCTATTGGTTTTGTGTTTGTGGATAATGTAACCTAAATATGCAACAAAGCTGTCTATCATATTCTACAGCTGCAGCTATTTTCTAGTCAAAAGTATTAAACACATTTAGAAAGCAGAAATAAAGCAGTAAATAATCAAGAATTACTAAATAACAGTGTTCCAAATAAAGTGATACAGAGCAGAGTTTCATACTGGTGCAGCTATAAAACCAGAACTTTGGCTAAAGAACAGAGTTGAGAGGTTGAGAGAATTACAGTTCTCCCCTTATTTGGAAAAATCTGTGCATTTGTAGTCCATCTGTACAGTGCTGATTTTGACCTCTGGGTGTGCTGGACAAGATGAAACTTAAGAAAACAAAGCAAGTGGTAGATTAAAACAAATAACTCAGAAAAAGCTAAAGATACTCACCAAGATACATTGTTGCAGCATCATCGCTGTAGCTGTACTTTGAATAACAGGGAGCCAGAGAACACAAATACAGCAACTTCAGCATCTATTACTAGTGCAGAATCATAATTATCCACAAGATGGTAGAATAGAGGGACAATATCGTTGTTCACTTCTACCTGCATGGTCTTTTTTTTTTTTTTTTTTTTTTTCCTGGATTCTTTATCCCACACCAGTTATCCAAAAAGAAAAATAACTCCGCAAATACCCTCCTTTCCTGGGAATGACACAGGGAGCCCAAAACTTGCTGAATGCAACATTAGATCACCGGACACAACAAATCCGCAAGGAAAGGCAAGGACTGGGGTCCCCTGCAACTTTCAGTAACACAGTCCACTTATCTTTCCCAACTGAAACACCAGACTCTGTAGTGCTCATTACTTTTTTTTAATCTATTGATCATTTTCATTCACAAGGATGACATCTGTTTCTTTAAAAAGACTGTGCACTAAGAACAAACTAGATAAATCACTGCATACCAAAGCAGAATAGAGCTGTACTGCAATGAGAATTTTACTCTATTCGCAAATGCCACTGTGTCTAAGGAAAAATATCTGAAGAACTCCCTACCTATTTGGAGGGCAAGCATTTAAAGTCCTTTTCTTAAGGGCCTACTTTTACATGTCACTGAAGCCTGGAGAAGGCAAGGTACTGCCTTCAGGAAAGTACCATCTGAAATAAAACATTAACAAGCAGAAAAACTCCTTACGATAGTAATATGGAAACTATCTGCAAATAGAATTGGATTTCAGTTGATATTCTGTTGTGTGCCATTTACGTTTCCTAAATTCGTTCTTATCCTCTGTAATGGCAATTCAAAACAAGCTTTTTCCTGTTTTCTTTCATTATTATACTCATTCTTTTAAAAATTATTTGAGTGACATCTAATATGAATCAAACACCAAGCTGCCTGTAAGGCTAAGAAACTATACCTCACTCTTAATGCTCTACATTTTCCACTGAGCCTCTCCTAAGTAATAAGGCCATGTATTGATGTTTGTTTTCCTGTTGTTGCCTACAGCTCACACATCTTCTTTTGCACAAAGGACGCTACTTTAGACAAGGAAGATGTAACAACTACACTCCCGCACAGCTGCAATGTGCTGAAAGTTCTTAGGGTTTTTGTCAAAGAGAAACAAACTCCACTTCATTAGGAAATGGAAAATTCATGAAGTCCAGTCATTCTGCATCCATTATAATTTGAAGAAATTGGAGTAGTCTCCATGAGAAAAAAACCTTACACAGCAATGAGGAGATAAACTCAGATGAAATGAGGTCCAAGTTAACAGCTGAAGAGCACCAGGGTCCTCAAGAGTATTGCTCAGAAAAGAAGAAAGGTCTTCTTAATCTGAAGAATGTACCCTCCAGTGGGATAGCACCCAACTCCTGCAGACTCCTGCCAGAGGCAACAGCAATTTGAGCCCCACACACCTCAGGTTCTACGTATCTACAACAGCCATAGTCCCCATGCAGCCACCTGCAGCTTTGACAACACTGGCTGCTCAGCATCTAGAAAGCACTGCTTCTTTCAGCGCTCAACTCTTGAGCTTCTCCTTCTCCCACCCCCGGGCTACCACCAGGAGAATAACTTCAATTTCCCAGTGGGGCACAGAATCCTAAAATGGAGAGGACACGTTTCAGGGTTCGGCACTCTTCTAAGATACGCCAGATACCCCTGGCAGCAGGGCGCGCCCCGACGCCGCGCGCGGTTCACCCCGCCCCGGGCCCCGCAGCCCTCACACGACGCGAACGCTGCCCGCGCCCGCGCGCTGACATAGAGCGGAAGCCTCAAGCTGCGGCCCCGCTGATTGGACGGAAGTGGGCGGTGGCCCTGCTCAACCTCAGCGCTGATTGGCCGGAAGCCAGTGGCAGCAGGAGTGCGGTCTCGCCGCTGATTGGCGAGTGGTGGCGGTCTGTCGGACCGCGGCATGGCGGTCCGCTCCAAGCTGTCATGGAGGCCGGCGGCGGAGACCGCTCGTGGACGGCTGCTGCCGCTGCGGACTGTGGTGGCGTGGAGGGGCAGGACAGAGTGGGACCAGGTGATGGTGGGGCTGTACTGCAAAGACAGCCGGCTGCAGCAAGAGGCGCTGGACCGGGTCTCGGCCTGGAAGAGTCGGTACGGGCGGTGCGGGGGTCCTGCTCGCAGGCGCGCAGCGCTCGCGGCCTCCCGCGACAGTTGGGGGCGACTGCGGCTCCGGAGCCCGGCGGGAAGGTGCGGCGGGAAGGTGCCCAGGAGCGCCGTGTGCTGCAGCTCCCTGGGGCGAGCGACCGCGCGGGGCCGACGGGCATCTCCCGCTGCGTGCGCACTCTTGCGTTCTGCCTAAAGGCGCAGAGGAAAGGCTGGTTAGTTGCTTTGCTCCGGATAAAGCCTTCAGCAGGGAACCTCTGATGTCCTCTTTCTGCATTCCCTTTCCCAGGCTGTCCAAAAAACAAAACAAAAAAAAAAAAAAAAAAAAACCCACAAAACAAACAAATAAAAAAACACCAGGCTGCTGAGCAGGCAGAAACTTTTGATAGCCTTTTTATTTTTTTTTTTCCCCTCTCTTTTTTAGGGAGTGCATATCCTTATATCCTTCTGAGACCAGTCTACATCTTTTCCTTTATGTCTAGGTATGGCCCTAAAATGCCTCTTGCGGTGGACTGTACTGCTGAACTGGTTCGTTGCAAGGTCCTGGATTCGTCTGGCAAACTGAGGTCACATGAGCTCATCCTCTCCTATGGTCTGGCTCTTGTCAGGTAGGGCAACAAAGGCCTGTGTGCTGCAGGGGAAAGGAGGAGATATGGACAAACCAATGTTATTTTGCTCCAGTTTCACAATGCATCTCTGAGCTCAGGGCTCATACACAGTGTGGGGAATTTATCTCTGTGATCTCAAGTTTCTCTGCAGCTGTTGATAGTTTCAATACTTCTCTGTTTCTTGTTTTTTAATCTGTTCTGTAATCCACATACAGATTTGTCAACTTGATCACAGAGAGGAAACAGAAAATGGTCAACATTCCTCTGAGACAATTAGCCAGTGAGGTAAAGTTACCCGCTAACTTGTATATACCGCAAACATAAGTACTAGCTATTAAATACTGGGCGAGGAAATTGTGGGCACCACTTTTCATTACTGAAATAATGGCACTGGGTGCTAGTTCTTTTCATAGAATTGGTTTGGGCTGCAGTTGCTCAACTCCAAAGCTTTAAAGAAGCTTCATGTAACTAAATCTAAAACTTTATTCTGTAAAGTTGCATTCAAATTAACATAGGGTGATGTTCATGAAAGTGTTTTGAAGGCTGTGTAATGAAAGATTTTGAATTAGTGCTAAACAGTCCCTCTGATGTATCTGCCATCTATTTCATAGCTGCTGAGAAGGGTTGGTGTTTTCATCTTGTCATCTTTTGTTTGAAAAAAGCTTGTCTTTTCTGTGCAGAGGAGGAAAAGGAGAGGATGTAATTGTAGTTGCAGAAACAATCTGAGTTCTACTATTGAATGTTGTGTCAAGCATCATACCAGGATCTGAACAACAAGTTTGGAAAGTGAATGACAGACAATATTTGTATCTCTACGGTATATAGAGTTAGGAAGTGAGAATGCTGAACTGATCTTTTCCTGTTTGCTTATTTTTAAGCAATATATGCTACCTCTCACATCTTAAATTCAGATGCTGAAATAAACTGTTGCTAATACTTCATCAAGCTTTGAAATTGTAATCTTGCATAGATAAGGTCAGTCGTCCTCAAGAAAATGCAAAACATGCAGCTTGCAGTATGTACGATTTCAATATCAAACTGTTATCCAGATGGTTTCGTCAGTTTAAATACAAATTAATTACACCTTAGCATCTTAGTAAATGATACGTAATGCCTCTGTCTGAAAAGACATCCCTTTGTCATAAGCAGCATTAAAGAACTTGAACTATAAGATCCTTATTTCGTATGGAAGAGTAGCTCTCTGGATTGCTATGGCATCAGAGGAGGTGACCCCAGGCAAGCTTTGAGGAGGGAAGTTTGTTGAACAGCAGTGCAGGAGCAGTCCAGAAGAGGCTGTTTATGTCTGGACCAAGAGCTTTGTGTGTGTGTGTGTGTATGTGCATGTGCAGTTATAGCGTATTATAGTAGTAATTGTGTGGTAATGCTTGTGGCTCTTCCTTCAGGTGGATATCCCCATATGGGTTGTGGATCTCCGTCATGAGCTCACCCATGGAAAGTTACCCCAGCTAGCGCTCTGTCGCAAGGGTGAGTGCCGTCCCAGCAGGACATCCCCTGCAAGTGTCCCCCTCTGCTCAGAGGTGGACTGGAGTAATGTACTTCTGTGGCCTCCCAGGCCCCACCGCTGTTGCCAGAGGTCCTGGGCTGACTGTGGTGCCTATGGAGGAACAGCTGCTCCCTGACCAGAGTGCCTTCTGTTTTGGGGGCCCCACAGGGCACCAACGGGCTGGTGGTAGGGGTGAGAGTTGTGGTGTGAAACACCTGGGAGGAACTTGCCACTGTCAGTCCTGCACAGGTGCCCAGCAGGCTCAGCATGAAGGGGAGAGCTATGATATGAAATGTCTGGGAGGGGGCCACCTCTGTCATGTGAAGCTGGTTAAATGGTGTTCTGTGGACAGCATGCAGAATGGGTAGAAAAAAAAAAAAAAAAAGAAGTGAATATTGCCTTTCCCTTTACACTGCCTTCTTTCCGTGTTTTAGAAAGTGGAAAACACAACTGGAAATAGACAAAATTTGACTCTTAAAAAGAACTGAAATTTCTCTGACTTTCTGGGAAAGAATGACTTGTCATTTGACGAAAACAACCAGCTGTCCCAGTGGAGATAATTCATCTTCCTTCCCAGCTCCAGGCTGTATTGTGCTGTAGGGAAAATGTTCAGACACTTTCTCCTTCCTTTGATTAGTAAATACTGGAAGCGATAGTTCAGCCCAATATATCTCCATGGTATGTGAAGTTCATGTCAGTGGAAGGGCTAAATACTTTTTCTCATGCTGTAAAGGAAACAGAGACTTGCAAAAAATCCACTTCTACAAGATGGAGTAGGTACTGCAAGTTTGACTAAGTGATCATCTCACAGCATTTAAAGAGATTCCCCCATTCATGGCTTTTTTGAGTTAACTACTGAAACTAAGTAAATAACCTTAATCAAGTTCCCTTGACTAAGCTAGATATGGAAATGGTTATGGGGGAAAGGAGGACTTCCTCACTCTGCATCCCCTTCATGATTATTGTAGTCTCTGCACAAAATATGAATGTTCTTATAGACACTGTGTTTATCATAGTGATTATTTTTAAAAAATCATTTTCTGATCAGCCCTCCACTGCTGGGACTTAGTTTCTGCTTAAATTTGGCCTAGCTTGAGCGAACAGCACTGTAGAAGCACCCAAACTCTTGTTGTCAAAAAGGTATTGCATACCACATTTCTTTTCACAGTGCAACTTAGCAACATGCCACATATATATGTTAAAAAATATCTCACTGAGAAGAGAATGTGTTTCTCCTTTAGGTTGTGATGTTGTATTAGACTGGCTGCGAAAGACATACTGGAGTCGTCAGCTGGGCAATAATTTATGTGAAGAAAGTGAAGAGGAGGATGAGCAGGAAGATACTGAAGCAAATACAGAGATGGACAGTGACACATGGGAGAATCAAAGCTCGCAGCATGAGGCCTCTCAGAAACATAAGGAATTCCATGGTAAGTGTTCCTAAAACAGGATCAGAAAAAAATCAACCCCACTGCTCAAGCAGGGATACCTAGAACACATGGCACAGGGTCGCATCGAGGCGGATTTTGATGATCTCTGAAGAAGGAGACTCTGCAGTCTCTCCAGGCGGCCTGTTCCAGTGCCCTGTCATCCTCACGCAACAAAGAAGTCCTCCCTCATATGAGGATGATACAGGCAGCACTCTTTCTAATGCAGCTAGGATCCCATTGGCCTTTTTGGCCACAAGGGCACATTGTTGCCCCTTGGTTAACTTGTCAACCAGGACTCCCAGATCTCTCTCCATAGAGCTGCTTTCTAGCAGGTCACCCTGTAGTCTGTGCCTGGGGTTATTCCTCCCCAGGTGCAGGACCCTGCACTTGTTCTTGTTGAACCTCATGAGGTTCCTCTCTGCCCAATTCGCCAGCTTGTCCAGGTCCCTCTGAATGGCAGCACAGCCATCTGGAGTGTCAGCTCCACCCAGGCTTGCTGAGGATGGCCAAGTCACTGATGAAAAGGTTGAATGGCACTGGACCCAGTGCTGACCCCTGGGGGACACCACTGGCCACAGGCCTCCTACTGGACTAGGACCCATTTATCACCACCCTCTGAGCTCTGTCATCCAGTCCGCAATTCACCACAATGTTTACTCATCTAACCCATGCTTCCTGAGGTTCCCTATGAGAATGTTATAGGAGACAGTGTGAAAAGCCTTGTTGAAGTCAAGGTAGGCAACATCCACTGCTGTCTCCTCATCCATTTATCCAGTCATCCCATTGTAGAAGGCTATCAGATTGATTTGACTCGACCTCAGTGTGGTGAATCGATGCTGAGTACTCCTGGTTGCCTTCTTTTCCTTGACAAAGGTCCATTCTAGATACCTTCGTAGTGGGCTCCCTGATAGATGCAGTAACTGCCATTCAGATACGTTAGCTACATTAGTCTTGTGCTTTCAGACTAATACAG